CCAATCTTGGAAAGGAAGAACCAAAGGGGCATCCCTGTGCTTCTTAAGCCCACACATGTTTGTAGCTCAGCTAGGGAAATCCCTGTGTGCTCTGCTACTCACTGCACCATCACTCAGAGGCCCCGTGTTGATGATGGTCATGGCTACAGTAAAAATGTGAAATGAAGAAGACACTCAGGTTCTGTTCTGTGGAGGGAGGCAGGGAGTGAGTAGGGAGATTGTGAGAGTTAAAGACAGAGAGACAGACACAAAGAGAGAGAGAGAGAGAGAGAGAGAGAGAGAGAGAGAGAGAGAGAGAGAGAGAGAATGTGTGTAATAGATATATATGTAGATGGATAGATAGATAGATAGATAGATAGATAGATAGATAGATAGATGATAGGAAATTAGAGGCTCAACTCCATGAAAATACTTGCAGTGAGATACCACTATACACTTATTCAATATAACCAGGTTTAAGACCCATAAAGTCAAATGTTGGCAAAGACATTGAGCCACTGGCACTCTCATACATGGCTGGAGGAGATACAAAATGATACAGTTATTATAGACGTCAGTTAGACAGTTTCTTTAAAGTTAGACATATTTGTCCTGAGATTGAGTAATTCTACTCCCAGGTCTTTAGTTCAAGGAATTGAAAACACCAATTACAAAAACTCATACTTCAAAAAGTTTATGAGTTTAATTAAAAGTAGTCAATGTAGATGTGCATTAACCAGGGATGGGGTAACATGTGTTGTATGCATATATAGAATGACACTGTTAAACAAATGACAGCACACTTGACTCTCAAAGGTGTCATATTTAGTAACAGGATCAGTCACAAACAATTCCTTTTCTGAGACAGGATAACCAGGGCTCTGATGTTTCTAAGTTATATACAGTTTCTAAACTGTAGCATCATAAATTGGTTGCCCTGGAACAGAGACAGGCAATGATTGACCTAAAGGATATCAAGGGAACTTTTTTTTTTTTTTTTTTTTTTTTTGGTTTTTCGAGACAGGGTTTCTCCGTGTAGCTTTGTGCCTTTCCTGGAACTCACTTGGTAGTCCAGGCTGGCCTCGAACTCACAGAGATCCGCCTGGCTCTGCCTCCCGAGTGCTGGGATTAAAGGCGTGCGCCACCACCGCCCGGCCTCAAGGGAACTTTTTCCAGGGAAAGAAGTAGCTTCATACTTAAGTGCATGTGGTTACATAGCTCATATTTTACATAAAATTTACCCATCTATGTTGGGAAGTGGGCAAATTCAGTTCCAAAGGAATCATTTGACATCAAAGCTTTTAAGAAATAATACAGACACTGACTTTTTCTTAAAGGTTGTTTGGTGAAGTGTCCTGTGTCTCAGCATAAACAGGGACCTTACAGATACATGTATGCAACAGGAGATCAACAATGCCTTGAGGCCCCAGTACAAGTATCAGACTGTCCTCCTGCACTCAAGGGAAGCATTCTTCTTGGCCCAGCTACAGAGTCAAGGCTCTTCTCTTCTGCCCTCTGGTGTTTGGGGTGGGCAATGTAAGAGACCTCACTGATGGTAAAGTTTCTGTGGTTGGTCTTCAACAAAATGAATGGAAGAAGAAGGAATTTGATGACCTAGGATTGAATACTTGTACCCTAGAGGGGCAAGTTGGTCATAGGTAGGCATCTATGGGAATATTAGGGTCTAGTGAACGAAGGAACCAACCTCTTAATGACAGAGGGAAAATATGGCATAAAATATAAATGAGGGTTTAGAGACAGCAATAAGGTAAGAATGAAAATGAAACCACAGGAGATGGAATAATAGTAGTTCCATGAGGATCTATGAGGTCTCAGGGGGCAGATGTGTCCCTTTACCCGTGGGTAGATTTGCTCAGGGACATGGAACAGGCATCTCTTCTGCTGGACCTTTCTGGACCTTCTGACACTACTTACACCTCCAATATTTATATTCTTATATTATTATAATCACATTTAAAGATTAAGAGGTATGGCCCACAAACAAGGAGGCACATTGTGTTTTTGGGTCTGGGTTACTTCACTCAGTATATTTTCTTGTGTCATCAATTTGTCTGCACATGATCTGATTCATATTGCACACATTATAGTAATAATATTCAATAAATCCATGCCTCAGCCTCTGTAGTGCTGGGGTTTACAGGAGTGTGCCACACCATAACTGAAGGAAAAATTGAATTACATATGTAGGAGAGAAGGTGGGAGCAGACAGAGTCAGAGAAAGAAACGGAAGCAGAGTCAGAGTGGAGAAAGACGGAGATAGAAACAAAGAGGAAGATGGAGGCAGAGGCTAAAAGACTCAGGAAAGTGGGAATGTTGGCAAATTCAAGTACTAGCAATTGAGAAGCAGAGGCTGATAGATCTTGAGTTTAGTGACAGCCTGGAATGCACAGCAAGGCCTCATGTCCCACCAAAGAAAGAACAGCAAAATGATGGCAATGGTAATAAAAGTAAAGACAAAGGCCAGAAAAATATCTACAATGAGGCATAAGTACACAGCCATCCAATGCAACTATATTGATGATTCCCATGTCCCAGTGTAGGTCAAGATATGCAGCAATTGGCACCTCACACATTTCTAAAGGGGTTGAAATATGATACAGTCATTTTGGAAGACAGTTTGGCACAATCTTTCTGGGAATCAGTTCTATTCTTCTATCATGTGGGTCCCGGGAATCGAACTCAGGTCATCATGTTTGATAGCAAGGGCCTTTACTGCCACTGAGTGATCCAATTACCTTGCATCTTTCAAAGTTAAACCTACACACGGTCATATCTATGTTTCCACCAAAAGAATTGAAAATCTGTGGTCACACAAAGTTATGTTTGGAATTGTCCATAATGGATTGCTTAGAAATCCATTATGTGACGCTTGCCTGCAATCCCACACTGAAGAGGTCGAGATAAGAGAATGGTGAATGTGATCCCAGCCTGGGCTACATAATGAGAGCCTTGTCTCAAAAAACATGATCTCTCCCAACCAAAGAAGAGTCTTAACATGGAAGTGACTCAGATGTGCAACTGCTGGGAGGATAAAAGGAACTGAGGATTTTATACACGGATTAGAACTCTTTCATGACGGATGGAAGCATTTATCTCATCTCAAGGACATTATGCTGGATGGCAGCTAATCACAGTGATTCTTCTTACAGGACATGACAGGAAGAGCTACAGTGTTCCCAAGCCACATCCAGGTGCAAACTACAGCAACAGAAAGCAGAGCATGATGGTATGCGGGGAGGGCTTCTTGGGATGAACAAAAAGTATCTATGGGCTCAGTCACTGTGCCAGGGCTTAGTACTCCCTTCATCTGTGCCTTGGTGTCCAGGACAGACAACATAGGAATCTTTATTTTCATCCAAAGGTGCTGTGAATGAAAAGGAACTTTGTCCTGGGAAAACTGGTACCCAAGGAAGGTTAATTGGCCAGAGGTAGAGGGATGAGAAGTTCAAAACTCAATAGGACAACAGGATACACCCTCTCAATGACAGAGATGATTTCGGGGAAAGAAAGGGCACAGTTTGGCACCATTGTAAATGGTATAATATACAAGAGACCTTGAGTTGCTGGGGTTGAAAATTTTAAGGACAACAATAACATAAGAATGAAAATTAATCACATGGACTATTGAGAAGAGTTCGGATGCTGCAGGAGAAGTTCTTTAAAACAGGAAGACACTCCCATACATGTCAAAACTGCCAGTCAGGGTGCCAGGGTCAGGAATCTCTTCTGTTAGACATGTGAGCACATTCCTACCTCTCCCATCTCCCTTCTCCCATCCATGCCACACAGTACAGCAGACAATCTTCACATATGTCACATGCTCATATAAGTGTGGGCTTCAGAGTGCCTGCAAATATACATTGGGAATAAGAGCAAATTTATTATTAGAGGAAGCCCAACTGGACCTGCTGGCCAAGCCCCACTCCTGGCCCAGCTTGAGGTATTTATGAACATGTCAAATCAGGTTCTCATAAAAATGGACCATTTGCAAATTGAGAAGGAAATAGACGAAATTTTCTCTATAGAGACAATCTGCACAGAGCTTTTCAGAGGCTGGCATGCTCAGTGGCTGACGTCAGAGAGGTCCAGGAGCTGAGCTCTGAAAGCCTGTGTGGCTCAAATTCATTTGCAGAAATCTAATTGCTAATGTGTTGATATTAAGAGTTAGGATCTATAGAAGGCCCAGAGGGCCATAGTTTGCAAGGTCTACAAGGGGAGTACACAGGGTGTAATCTTTGTGCCAAACAACTAGTCCTCGCCTCACAGTAGATGTGCTGGCAACCTGACCCTATATTTCTTGGTCCATAGAATTCCACATACATTTCTGCTGTTTATAAATTACATAGCTTATGACTGTTTTTGTTTATGAGATGTAGGTCTTTCTCTGTTGCCCAAGCTGGTCTAGAACTCCTGGGCTCATGCAATATTCCTGTCTCAGGTTCTGAGTAGCTGGGCCCATAGATACCAATCACAGTATCTGGGTCAGTTTGTGATCTGACTGGAACAGTAGCTTGGACTTATGAAGACAATAGGACCTAGGGTAATCAGATTTTCTACTCGCCACTTATAAATATGTGGAAACATGGGACTTACTAAGAGAAGGGTGGGGTTTTGATAAAGTCCATCCTGTGTAGTGAACCTTGCCCAAACTTTCCGGGTTTTGTTCTTGGGGAAGAGAAGAGGATGGAGCGAAGATAAGGGGAGGAGAGGAGAAAGGAGCCTACCAGAGGAGTGTGAAAGAAGATGGATGCACTTTGGGACTTACACACCCACATTTTTATGAGAGCCTTTATGGATTATGTCTAGTAAAAATTTGTCTAGCATTTTGAGTAAGGAATGATAAGTAGAGTGTTTGTCATACATGTTGGCAAAATGGAAAACTATAAAGATCAGTTATGGTTATATGAATGTTGGAATCAATGTAGGCTTCTAAATGGGCTGTGAGAACCTCAGGCTAACCTCAACTTTACTGGTTCACATACCTTTCCTTACATTGGGGATTACATATTCTTGTTTTTGCCATGAGCCCCTTTTAGCTCCTGAATCTTCTGGGGCAGAGTCTTGGTCCAGAACTGTTGTCTTCTGGCCTTCAGGGCTTGGCCCACAGCAGGCTGGATGTCCAACTGCAGGTACTGTTCATTTTGGTCTGACACAGGCCAGTAGGGTAGACCCTCACTGTTGGGGTTCCTGTGGATATGCCAACCAGCAAGGAAGTATGAGGTCACTTCATTATAAGGCCCGATCTTCCAATTGACTCAGGGCAGTGGACTAAGCAGACCAGTGGACTGATGAGGCAGATGTCTTAATTTAGGGATACAAGTGTGACCCTCTAGTTTATACTCCATGTGGGGGAAGGCTACTTGGCCTGTTTTGTGCCTTCTTCTCAGAGGCAAGATCTAAAGAACAGTACTATAGTACTGTGACCCACCCACAGCTCACTGTGAGATGACCAGTAGCCAGCACCTACAAAGTGTCTATCTCAGTGTGCCTTGGGTATGAGGACTCTATCATATGTAGGATCTATGCATGCTAATGAGATCACCAATCACAAATGGATCCCTAGATGGAGACTCAACTCTTGGAGGCTGAGAGAAGAGCATCTTCTTACCCATATCGTGCAAAGTTGGCCCAGTACTTCATCATTCTCCTGCTCAGCAGCTTCTCCTTTCCAGTGAGGTCAACTGCAGATGAGAGGGCAAGGGTCCAGATCCCAGTCATTTAGTGTAGCTGCTGAACGCATGCTTCATACTCACCATGCCAGCTGCAGCCTAAAACTCAATTCCAGGCTTCATTCCCTCCCTCCCTTACAACTCAGCATTCAAGATCAATTTAGTTCTCTAAGTAAATGCCCCAAGACTTAGTCCTGAGCTAGTGAATCCTCATTTCCTCTAGCACAAGCAAAACTAAGAAAGATCCAGACCCACAGGAGGTTTTAGAGCTGTGAGATGGTAGACACTTGATCCTGTTTTTCCCAGAGTCTTGAATTCCTAAACTGGACTTGAAACTCAGACATCCTTCAGGTACAAACTTGATTCTCCATTCTGTTCATGGAAAAAAAGGGAGACTCACATTTGATACCCCAGAAGAAGGATCCAAAGATAAGGAAAACCTCATCACCATGGTCAGCCTTTACATGTCGAGGCTTGAAATCCTTGAGAAAGTTGGGGCGATGCTGAAACTCATAGAAGTAGACAGGGGCATGGAAACCTGAGGACAAGAACACATTGTGACGTAAGCACAGCTTGCTTCATACAGTGCTGATCCACATTTGGTGACAAGATAACTTGGTCTCACGTTATCTGGAATCATAACAGTTGAGTGTGGAGTCCCAGCCTGGGACTTTCCCACTGGCTGTGAGAAAGCCTGATGTTAAATAATGACTCTGCCCTCCTCAGGGAAATAGGGTATCATTCAGCTGTTTCCTCAGCTATACCCAGATAAGTTGTCATTCTCTTACACTCAATATAAATATTTACTAGATAAAGGCTCTCAGTTGTTTGAAACCAGAGATCTGATTCAGATCCAGGTCAAGCCTGGACACTACAGTGCTCACCTGGGACCTACAGTTCTGAGCTTCCTCCCTCAACCTTGTTATAGATGTACTCACGCTGAAAATGTGCTACTTGGAGTGCAGGGATCACAAACATGAAGTCTCCCATCATCTCTGTGAACTGTATTTGGAGGGTTTGTGGGTCCTCAGTGTCCCCCATGTACTCCTCCATTATCAGGTCACTACACTCAGGAGGTAGCATCTATACCAAGCAGATTGGAAGAATGAGGTTGGATAGGCAATAGGATAGTTAGGCAACATCCTTAGGGTGGGGGAAATGCAGATGAGGTCTGGTATAGGGGGAAAGCTCTGAGTGACCCCAACCAGCCAAACACACACACACACACACACACACACACACACACACACACACACACACACACTTCTAGGGATGCTTTCTGAGCAGGATATTGAGAGGTCTTCTTATTGGGGGCAGGTCTCAGATTCTCACCAACTGTTCTGCTGTTGTGCTCTTTAGAATATCCTGCACTGTCTTTCTGGTTATTTCCTTTAATGTTTGAGAAGAGTTGAAGATCTGGAATGTGGAGAATGTTTTGAGTTTGGAGTGGGCTGGATATAGATCAATGAATCTCTGAGCTCCCACTGCCCACCATATAAGACCCCAGGCACATGGGAGATTAGAACTGGGCCTTACCAGTGGGAGAATCCAGCCATACTCATCATTGTTGACACCAATGATGCTGGGGACAGGATGAAAATCAGCAGAGGCCAACAACTCCTGAGGATGCCTGGGTAGGAACATCCCATCCACCACACCAGGGATGATCCTGAAGGCCTGAGTGACATGCAAGGTCAGTATTGAAGATTTATCATATTATACACACACACACACACACACACACACACACACACACACACACACACACACACACATATTATATATATATAAAATATGTGTATATATATGATGGCCATTGAATGTTCTCCATCATTTCCCTATTTCCTAATTTGTCTCAAGATGGTCATCCCCACCACACCTCTCCCATATCACCCTTGAAGAGACCCTACACTTAAATTAGCTTATGTAGGTGTTCATTTTGTACCCAAGACTAAACGGATACCAAGCCATGCAGAAAGGGTAATTTGTCCAGAGTAGTAAGGACTTGTCACACACCCTATTGTCTCTTATCTTGCTAGCCACACAATTCTACCAACCTTGTTAATTGCCAGAATTTCTGCTTCACTCTTGCCTCGAAGGCAGTGTACCAGGGCCTCTGAGTTCAAAGTTGCACAGCCAGATAGATTTTCCACCGTCTGTAATGGGAGCAGGTGTGAGTTGACTTATCCTCCCCAGCAGGGAGCAGTATTTTAGCAGTCCCAAGTGGATACCACTGTCCTTAAATATAACACCATATTGTGTGTTTTGCACAGGTTACAGTACAATGTGAAATTGTTCCCATTTTCCTGTTGCTCAGAGTTGACATTTGAGAAAGGGAGCATTCTATCTGCATGTTTTTATGGCTGTTTTTTTGTGTGTACGTGTTCCTGGGTGACAGTGTGTATTGTGTGGCACATTTTGCCTATGAAAGTCAGAGGATGACCTTGGATATCATTTGTCATCTTCCTCCTTGTGAGACAGGGTCTCTTGTTTGCTGCTGCCTACACCAATGGAGCTGACCTTTAGAGCACTCCTGTCTCTGCCACTCACCTCACCATAGGAACACTGGGATTGCAAATAAGTACTACCACATCTAGTATTATGTGGTTTTTGGGGATTTGAATTCAAGTCCTTACCCTGGCACTGGAGGCCCTCTTACCCACCAAGTCATCTCCCAAAACCATGCATATTTTTTTTTTTTTTGCCAAAGAGAGAAGCTGCTGGGAGCAGCTTTGCTAGCCATATAATATATTCAGCATGCATAAAGTAGAGGGAAGTCGATTCTAATCTTTGAACTTCTTAGAAATTATTGGAAAGAAGCTATTTCCCATGGTCATTGTTTACCACTGAACAGAGTATCAGAGTATCAGAGGCTCAGGGCTAAGGCAGGAAGCCAGGACTGGGGTGATGGAGGACACTCACCATGAAGACCATCTCAGAGGTGTTAGAGATAAGGCGAGGCAGCAGGGCCACCCCACTCTGCATGATGGCTCTGTGGAAGAGTCCTTGGGACATGGGGGACACAACATGGAAAGACACACTTGTGCCACCTGCAGACTCGCCAAAAATGGTGACCTGGTCAGGGTTGCCTCCAAAGTGGGCGATGTTCTGCTGGACCCAGCGTAGGGCGGCCACTTGGTCTAAGAAGCCCCAGTTGCCTCTGGCATGCTGATCTCCGGTGCTGAGAAGTGGAAGGCAAATGGATCAAAGGGCTGTTTAGGTTCTTCTCAGCTGCCATTGCCCAGTCCAGTCCTAGTCTCACCTGAAGAAGCCCAGTACACCCAGGCGGTACTGGATATTGACTACCACCACATTCTCAATGGCTGACAGCATGGATCCATCATACCAGGAAGCCATGCCTATAACCAGAGCACCACCATGGATCCACACCATCACCTGGAGAAGTCAAGAGAGATGCCAGGAGGCTTCTATTGGGCACAACCTCAGGTGGGACTGCCTCCCAGATTATGGACTGCTTCCTATCTGTGTAACTAAACACACAAGGACTCCTCAGCATCTTAGACCTGGGCCACTAGTGAGGAACACAGTCTCATCAGCATATTTCCAAGTCTCACTGTTGCACCAGGAACCTTAGTTTGGATTAATGAATTCAAGTCCAGAGTAATGTCACTCTCACTACCAGACTCTTCAAAAGTGGAAAAGGTGTCTCCATAAGAGTTTTTTCTGATCCCAAGCTGGAAATTTGGCTTATGTCAATATTCATCCCTTGGACAACTGCCTGGGTGTCTGGGGATCAAGTTTGTAGAGTAAGTCATTCCTTAGTACATGAACCACAGCCCCCTGACCTCTCAAAGCTCCAGTACTCCGTGTTCTGTACCCATAGCTTAGGTTGTTCACCATGGCTGAAAAGAAACCTTCTTGGACCCACTAGGGAAAGTTGTCTCATCAGGGTCTACAGTGCAATAGAACTCAGGTTGACTTTGTTCTTTCTAATTTTCCTGGGAAAGAAATCTCCACCCCCACCCAGTTGACTATGGCCCAACTCTCACAGGTAGGTTAGAGCCCTCATGGGCATGAGCTGGTGTGTAGATGTTGAGATACAGGCAGTCCTCAGACACAGAGATGGGAGGCATGATCAGCTTTATCCTCTTCAGGCCATCTAAATTCATTATATCATCATTTTGTAGACACCTGGAGACAATGATAGATGCTGATCCCAAGAAATGTTCAGAGATCAAGACCTATATCTCTTAGTAATATCAGAAAACACACCCATAAAGTCTCACCAACACTGAAGCCTAAACATGAGCTGAATAAGGATGGCATCAATAGACATACTGAAGTGGATAGGTAAAGACCATGAGACATCAACACTACAGAAAGAGATACAGGCAACTAAGGAATGCTCAGAGTGGGAGAAAAAGTCTTCCCTAGGGAACAGCACACTGTAGAAGCACATGTATTATTGTTCCCAGGTACTTTGATATTTGGGTGCTGTGTCTACAATGGGACTGAGGGAATGAATGGACAGTGTTGTCCCATAGGGAGTAAGAACTCCTTCATCCCATGTCCAGACTCTCAGGGAACCTCTTTCTTCTACATATTCTCCAGTGTAAGCTTGTATACTTGTTCCTTGGACAACGGCTCTTAACCTTATGGGTTACCACACTGACTCTGCAGGGTAGGGCTGCCAAGTACTGCTGCCCTCCAGAGGGACTTGTAGTGCATGATACCAGACTCAGGGCTCTTGTTGCTTAGTATAAACACACTGAACTTTGTCTGCAGACCTCTCCACTCCAAGAGTTCACTTGGCATAATCTGACTCTGGGACCAGTTTGGATCTTTCTCACTGTAGTACCTAGAGCTAACTCCCTGCAGGTGCTAAGCTCTGACCCAGGAGCCTGGCACAGTTGTTCAATTCTAATCCTTAATGTATGCATCAGAAAAATGCATGGGAGATGCCCCTCAGCACAGGCAGAACTGCTGTGTAGCTGAGATGCAGGAAATACTTCAGCATGGCTCAGAGCTCAGAGCAACTAACTGTTCACCCCAGGGCCAGACATCCTCTGGGTTTAGAACTTACATGGCTGGTTGCAAGGTTCCATCTCTCACACCATTCCACGGATCAGGGGCTTCAGGGGGAGCAAAGCGCAGTTGTCCTACAGGTGGCTTGGCAAAGGGAATTCCCAGGAATCTGTGGACACTAACTTTGGTGTCTTTCACATGGACAAGGCTGCCACGGACCTGGCCTGTGTGTGTGTTTCTGATGGGGCTGGCCTCTGATGAGTCTTGACCTGGGTGGAGAGATGCCATCAAGGTTAGTTTTGTGTAATCAGCTCCTACAGATTTTGGGATTTCCCACCTCATTGTTACCAGGGCACACAGGAAGGGAACCCAGGGCCTCCTAGTTCAGCTGTGGGGTGTGAGCGCAGGAGCTTCCCTATCCCTCAGGGCCAGAAACCTTTCCCACTTCCTCTTTTAAGGGTGCCAAAGCATTTCTATGTTCAAAGAGGTCACACACTCAGAGTCATTTGGTAGCATGAAGGTATTATCATTATTATTATCCAAAGCAAGGCATAGCCACACATGGAGGTGGGAAATGCCTCTTCTGCTCTTCTCCTGACCTCAGCTCCTCAGAGCCCTTCACACTGGCCTGACTCCTCAGTGTGCAGTAACCTTAGACATCTCTGACCCTCTGTGTACTAAGTGCCTACTCTGTGGGTTTTGGTGGAGGCACTGAGTGGCACACATTCCCATACTTTGATCTGTCATCTCTTTGAGCTCCTCCCTCCCTGGTGCCTTTCTCCTGAAAACTTAGCCTCTAACTAAACTGGGCAGCTCTGATCCACGTCCCCATTGTCACTTAGGGAGTCTCACCCTGCGCATGGAGGAGGATAATCAGGAGTCCACAGGCCACAGCATTCAGCCAGCCAGGAAGTCTGCCCAGTGGCATGATGGACTTGCAGGCCTGAGACTGTTCTGTCTCAGACTGACAGTGTTCCAACAACTAAAAGCAGATTATATATGCTGCCCAGACAGGACCAAAAGGAATGCAGGTGGAAGAACATGTGGGGCGGGGCAAAGTTTTACTTCCTGAGAATTAAGGAGGAAGTGACAGGAGCCAATTACCAACAGTCAGGACAAATACACTTCTGCAGTCCTGCTCTTTTGTCCTTCGGGAAAGATATAGTATGGCTTCTGCAGTTCTTCTGGGATACCAGGAGCCCTGTTCTCAAACCTAGATTCTCAAATCATGACCATTGTCCTTTTGCTTACTGGCCAGATGTCAGTGCTGTTGTGGAGGTCAGGGGACAGAACGCTGTAACAGGAGAAGCCAGGAGGGCTTCTTCAAGTAGCTAAATACTGAAGATGCCACAAATGGAGAGAAGCACACTGGCAGAAGCTCAGAATGTGACCATTACAGTGATCATCGGCCCTACATGGATCCCTCCCCATAGATTATGGCTGTTTCATACTGTGTCTCCTCTAGTGGCCAGCTCCTTCGCAGATCAACTTCATAGTCCTTTATGCACTTGGAAAACTCTTTTTAACATCATTCTTATTTATTTGTTTGTTTATTCATTTAATAATAATTTATTGTGTGTGTATGTAGGTGTGTGGGTACTCACATGCTATGACATGTGTGTGAGGATCATGAGGCAACTTCTGGGAGTCAGTTCTTTCCTCCCACCATGTAGAATACTACTGGGGATCCAACTCAGGTTTTCAGGGTTTGTTGGAAGTCTCTTTACTCACTTAGGCATCTTACCACTCTTTACCCTGACTTGATAACATTTCATGAAGCACTGATGTCTCCAACACTGAGGACAATATGGGCTCTCAGAGCCTGTGGAAAAGCTAGAGATATGGGTCTATAAATGGGAGTTTCAGAATTATAGATGCATGAATGAGTTCATGAATGAGTTCAGAATCAGGAATTCACACCTTGGCTCAGTTTGAATTCTTGGAGGAAGTGGTGTGATGATCCACATCAGACAGCCTTTAGTACCCTCTGAGAACTTGACTCTAACTTCCAGCCCCCAACAGGGGGATTCACAGCCTGGCACAGCAGGACTTCCTCCTTGGTTCTTTTCTGTCTCCTCTGACAAAACAGTCATGGCTTTTCCTGCCTCCTCCAATTGGCAAGGGCTACAATGCACTCTTGTGCAATCTGTGGTCCCAGCCCTTCCTGCCAGGTGCTTCCCCTACTTTAGTTCCACAACCAAATGAACGGGAGAACCCAGGGGCAAATTGAATACAATTTGTCAGCTTTGCAAAACAGCATAAAGTGACACTAATGGTATTAGTGACAACGATAAGGTAAGAATGAAAATGAAACCACAGGAGATGAAACAGTAGTGTCACAAGGATCCAGGGGGGAGATGTGCTCAGGACAGGGAACAGGAATCTCTTCTGCTGGACATTTCTGGACCTTCTGATACCACACTCCACTTCTAGGACACACTCACAGACACATATTCACAGATGTCCTAAGCATGCAAATATGTATTACATAGCATTTCCTGTCCCTGGTAATAAGAACAAACCTTAGGAGACAGGAACACAAACACACAGATGCCCCCCCCCCCCACCCCAAGACCCCCATAGACCCCTCCACAGACACACACACACACACACACACACACACTAACACACTTATACACTTTTTCAGTCTTGAAGGACTAATGAATATGTCCAGACCCACTTCTCATTAAAAAAAAAATTGTACCACTCACCACTTGGGAAAGACACAGATGAATGAATTGATTGACTTGAATGCCAATTATCTAAGTTGCCTCATATATTGAAATCCAATGTGAAATTTACATTGGGGCTGTTAGGAGGTTGAGGTATCATGAGCACCATTGTTTATCTTGATAACAGAAGGTAAAATCTTTAGTCTAGAGAGCTAGGCTTTGTTATCCAGTAAATCTACTGGCATCTTGACTCTGGACTTCTTTGGCTCCAAAACTGAACACATTTCATTTGTTTATAAGCTACATAGTTTAACACACACACACACACACACACACACACACACACACACACACACATTTATATATGTAATATCTATTATTGAGATGCAGTGCCCCTGTTACCAAATGGGCTATTTTTTTAATTAATTTTTTTTTCATTTTACATACTATCTCCAGTTCCCTCTCCCTCCCCTTCTCCTACCTTCCCACCTCCTCCACATCCTACCCCCATCTACTCCTCAGAGTGGATAAGGCCTCCTTTGGGTAGTCAACAAAGTCTGGCATACCAAGTTGAGGCAGGGCCTAGCCCCTCTCCTCTGCATCAAGGCTGAGCAAGGTATCCCACTATAGGGAATGGGCTCCAAAAAGCTAGTTCATGCACCAGAGATAATTCCTGATTCCACTGCCAGGAGCCCCACAAACAGATCAAGCCTCACAAGTGTCACCCACATTCAGAGGGCATAGTTCGGTCCCATACAGATTTTGTAGGTGTCAGTCCAAAGTCTGTGAGTTCCCACTAGCTTGGGTCAGCTGTCTCTGTGGTTTTCCCCATCATGCTCTTGACTCCCCTTGCTCATATAATCCCTCCTCTATCTCTTCAACTGCTCTCCAGGAGCTCAGCCCAGCCCTTGGCTGTGGATCACTGCATCTGCTTCCATCAGTTACTGGATGAAGGTTCTATAATGACAATTAGGGTAGTCACTAATCTGATTACAGCGAAAGGCCAGTTCAGGCACCCTCTCTATTGTTGCTAGGAGTCTTAGCTGGGGCCATCCTTGTGGAATCCTGGGAATTTCCCTAGCATCAGGTTTCTCCCTTGCCTATAATGGTTCCCTCTATCAAGATATCTCTTTCATTGCTCTCCCTCTCTGTCCCTCCCCCAACTCGGCCATCTCTATCCCTCATATTCCTAGCCACCATCCCGTCCCTTTTACCTCCCCTCCCAGTTTACCCTGGAGATATTAACTATTTTCCTTTCTGGGGCCCTCCACGCATGTCTGTTAGGGTCTTCTTTTTTTTACCTAGCTTCTCTGGGGTTGTAGATTGTATCCTGGTTACCTAGCTCCTCTGGAGCTATGGATTGTAGTTTGGTTATCCTTTGCTCCATATCTAGTATCCACATATGAGTGAGTACATACCATGTTTGTCTTTCTGGGTCTGGGTTACCTCACTCAGGATGATTTTTTTTCTAGTTCCATCCATTTGCCTACAAATTTCATGATGTCATTGTTTTTTTACCTTTGAGTAATACTCCATTGTGTAAATGTACCACATTTTCTTTATCTGTTCTTTGGTTGAGGGGCATTAGGTTGCTTTCAGGTTCTGGCTGTTATGAATAATGCTACTACGAACATAGTTGAGCAAGTGTCCTTGTGGTATGATTGAGCATCTTTTGGGTATATTCCCAAAAGTGATATTGCTGGGTCTTGAGATAGGTTGATTCCCATTTTTCTGATAAACTGCCGTACTGATTTCTAGAGTGACTGTACAAGTTTGCATACCCACCAGCAGTGGAGGAGTGTTCCCCTTGCTCCACATCCTCTCCAACATAAACTGTCATCAGTGTTTTTGATCTTAGCCATTCTGACAGGTGTAAGATGGTATTTCAGTGTTGTTTTGATTTGCATTTCCCTGATGGCTAAGGATGTTGAGCAATTCCTTAAATGTCTTTTGGCTATTTGAGATTCTTCTGTTGAGAATTCTCTGTTTAGTTCTGTAATCCATTTTTTTAAACTGGATTATTTTGTATTTTGATGTCTAGTTTCTTGAGTTCTTTATATATTTTGGAGATCAGCCTTCTGTCAGATGTGGGGTTGGTGAAGATCTTTTCCCATTCTGTAGGCTGCCATTTTGTCTTATTGACTGTGTCCTTTGCTTTACAGAAGCTTCTCAGTTTCAGGAGATCCCATTTATTAATTGTTACTCTCAGTGTCTGTGCTACTGGTGTTATATTTAGGAAGTGGTCTCCTGTGTCAATGCGTTCAAGGCTACTTCCCATTTTCTTTTCTATCAGGTTTAGTGTAACTGGATTTATGTTGAGGTCTTTGATCCATTTGGACTTGATTTTTGTACATGGTGATAAGATATGGATCTATTTGCATTCTTCTAACATCCAGTTAACATCCAGTTATGCCAGCACCATTTATTGAAGATGCTTTCTTTTTTTACAATGTAAAATTTTGGCTTCTTTGTCAAAAATCAGGTGTTCGTAGGTGTGTGGGTTAATGTCAGGGTCTTCAGTTTGATTCCACTGATCCACGTGTCAGTTTTTATGACAGTACCAAGCTGTTTTTTATTACAATAGCTCTATAGTAGAGCTTGAAGTCAGGGGTGGTGATGCCTCCGAAATTTCCTTTATTTACAGGATTGTTTTAGCTATCTTGGTTTCTTTGTTTTTCCATATGATGTTGAGTATTGTTCTTTTGAGGTCTGTGAAGAATTGTGTTGTGATTTTGATGGGGATTTCATAGAATCTGTAGATTGCTTTTGGTAAGATTGCCATTTTTACTATGTTTATCCTATCTATCCAAGAGCATAGGAGATCTTTCCATTCTGATATCTTCTTCAATTTCTTTTTTCAAAGACTTAAAGTTCTTGTCATATAGGTCTTTCACTTGTTTGGTTAGAGTTATCCCAAGATATTTTATGTTATTTGTGACTATTGTAAGTGGGTGATGTTTCTCTGATTTCTTTCTCAACCCATTTATCGTTTGTATATAGGATGGCTACTGATTTTTTTGAGTTAATCTTGTATCCTGCCACATTACTGAAGGTGTTTATCAGCTGTAGGAATTCCCTGGTAGAATTTTTGGGGTCACTTATGTGCACCGATAGAATACAAGAGATGGAAGAGATAATCTCATGTGTTGAAGATACAATAAAAAAATAGACTCATCGGTCAAAGAAAATGTTAAATACAACAAATTCTTAACAGAAAACATCTAGAAAATCTGGGACACCATGAAAAAACCAAACC